AAAGGAAAGGAAAAGTGGCAAAAACGCACCCAAAACCCTGGGAAAACTGAACTGGGGAGTCCTAGCCCCTTGACACTGAGAAATAGAAGGACACTAACAGGAAAAATTTATTCATAAATCCTTTCAGAGAAGAAGAACTTAAAGTCACTACCTCCTCCATGCCAATTACTATACTAGGACTTCTAGTTATTTAACTCTTATAACAACCTTATAATACCCATGCTAGACAGATGAAAAACTGAGGATCTGAACAGTTAATGATTAGGCCCAGAAATAGTACAAGCTGCAGTCAGGATGTGAACCTGGGACTGCCTATCTCCAACGCCTATTGCCTTTTACTGTACTGTACAGACAGTAACACACACAGCCCCGCAGGAGGAGGAAATCACAAGTGTTCACCAAAGGGGAGAAATCCTATTAAGGCCCCACTACTTTCCCTCTGATATATAGTAACCAGATATTCGTTTTCTACTCTATATTTTGATTTTTGAATTGATTACACTGAACAATGGACTAAGCCACCCAGGTGCCTTTATTCTGCTATTTTCTAAAGCCAAACTTAAAACACAAGTTGTTGGGCGCCTGGGTGGCTCAGATAGTTGGGCGTCTGCTTTGGCTCGGGTCGTGATCCCGGAGTCCTGGGATCGAGCCCCGCATCGGGCTCCAAGCTCCTTGGGAGCCTGCTTCTCCCTCTGCCTCTCTCTGTCTCTCATGAATAAATAAATAAAATCTTTAAAACAAACAAACAAAAAAACACAAGTTGTTGCCTCCCTCTCTGTGGAGCAAATCGCCCATTGAGCCTTCAAAATTTGGCCCCAATGTCACCACCTCTGGAAAAGCCTGGTGGGAAATGCATAAGTCTAGGACTGAATGGGGCTGAGTTTAAATTCCCATGTGACCACTCACTACATGTATGATCTTGGACAAGAAACTGACGCTCAGAGCCGCAGTTTCCAAATCAATACAACGAAAGAACCTTACAGAGTTATTATGAGATTTCAACTGCTGAAGGCACACACACACACACAGCACTCAGCATAAGTCTTGGCACTGAGATCATCCTCCACCAACGTTACCTTCCTATCCTCTTTCTTCCCCACCTCCAGCACACTTCATCTCCATCAAACCCCTAGCATTGAACTTAGCAGTTGTCACTCCTGGAACGTGCCTTAGGGTTCCTGTTGCTTATGAGCTGAGCACAGGGCCTGAAATTCAGCGTGCCAGCAACAACCACTCCGTTAACAGAATCATCTATCAGTAAAGCCACGGGTTTTCTCTGCTCTACAGACATGGACAGTGACAGAAACGCACACCATTGCTCGAGGAGCCGATCGCTAGGTTGGACTACTGAGTCACTCTTCCAGTGAGATTACTAAGTCAAGGATTGCTGGGAGCAGGAGGTCTCTTACCTGAAAACCTTTAAAAGAACATTTTAAAATTGCCTTTTAGCCGAGTGATGCACAGAATCCGGAAAATATGGGCCCCATTTGTTACTAAAATACGGGCCTGTCGCTATCCACCAAGTGCAGGGTTAAAGTGCTCGTTCCCACATTCCCGAGCACACACTCGGGACCGCCGCGCCGCGCTCACCTTCTCTCTGGGTTTGATGTATTTGTGCAGCAGCCCGCACAGCTCCAGGTAGCTTCCATACCACTCGAAAGCTCTCCTTCCTCGCTGCTGGAAGAACTTCTCCCAATAGTCCGCGGAGCCAAACTCCTTGCAGCTTTTGGGTAAGAGGTTCATACTGTCACTGTCCGAGCGGCGCCTTCAAGACCCTCCTACTCGCCCTCCGAGGTACCATCGGTTAGGCTTCCACACACGCTGGCGTCGGGCCCCTGCAGTGGAATTCTTCCCACGACCAATAACCACGCTGATTTATCCCCCGCTCAAAACCCAAAGGGATGACGCTTACACGCCAGCCCCACGCGCGAGACGCTGAACCCAAGAGACGCTCACCCGTCCTCCCGGCTCACAGTCCCTGCCGCACGTGCGGAAGCCCTCACACTCCCTCAGAGCGGGGTTTCCGAAC